AACTGGAAAAGTTGCCAGCTGCATTGTTAACACACCGAATCGGCCAAAGTACAAAAGCAAATATTTTTAAATTAAAAAAAGCCCCACTTAACCTCATTAACACCTAACAGCTATTCTTTGAAGAGTGTTTATAATTTTGATTAAACCTACTAACTAATATAACACTTGATATCATACAGGTACTTTAATAAAAATTTGTAGTTCCAAAATAAATTTTGGAAGAAAAAACATGTCGACGACATGATACCTTGCTCAGCAATCTCACCATCGACCAGAACATAGATCCTATTGACGGATCGTATAGATGAGAGTCGGTGAGCCACTGAAACAGTAGAAGTATTATGAAAGCTAACTTAGAATTTTCGACTACGTTAAAATTTAACAGTTCTTAAAACGCACTATCAGAAATCCCGGAATTAAGAACATCTCAAAGAGATTAAAGCTTTCTGAAGTGTTTCTTTGTAAAATCCAGTAAAGGCTGTAAATTTTTCAGGAGGCAAAGCAAACGTGAGCTGCTTTTTTTGAGAACTGTCCAAAATAGAAGCTGAAAAAAATTATAGTACCGCTTTGGACTCGAAACTGAGAAAATGCTCTTTCACGTTCAAACCAAATGCGTCTAGTATCACAGATCCTAGTGACCTTTTTTACTCCCCCTCCCCCTCTCCGCTTTCCCCCTTGTCCCATCTTTATCCGTTCCTATCTGACTTATTGAAGCATTAACCTTGACAGGAATAAACTCACCGTAAATGCATGTGCAATTTTTACTGACCGACTCGAGTGCACTTTGAACCGCCTGAAAATCATCATAGTACTGCAGGAAAGAACAAATGGACAAGAGCGCACCCGAGCTCTCCTTCATCCCGAAATTCATCAGTTTTGCGTGTGCTCAGGAAACTGTTTACATCAACAAATCCAGGACCGACAGGGCTATCAGTGCGGATATCCCGCACCAGTGGATGTCCCCATACATGTGCCTTGTTTCTCACTGACTGTAGAGATTTATTTACACGAAAGAAAAGTTGACAGCAGCAAAAGCAATCCACGCAACCTTTTCGCTGGCGGTATCCAAAGCTGCAGTTGCTTCGTCAAGCAGAAGCACTCGCGGTTCGCGGATTATTGCCCGAGCAATCGCAATTCGCTGTTTCTGACCACCGGAAAGCTGAGCACCAAATTCGCCCACTTCTGTGTCGTAGCCCTACAAACCGATATGTTGTAAGCAGCTAAAAACAGAATGCTCGGCAAACTGAAGAAGATATTGCAGATTTCTTATTTGTTGGCCAAATTAGAAAATGCAAGAATACGGTTTAAGCAAAACTCGCTACAGCTGTTTACGGAGTCTTGCTGCCCACAACCTGGTATTCCTTCACGGATTCAGGATTTTCGTTTATTGCCTGTCCATCACTACCTCGTTCCCTTTTTGGTTTCAGGACTTTGACAAAATTGCACTAAAACCAAAAATAATAAGACTGCCTGGATAAGGGATTCGGGATCTCTCTCCATCCTCGTCATGAACTGGGAAGTTCCTGTATGTCGGATAATACCAGGCCTGCTAATTGATCCTGAATTGCATGCCTTTTGATGGTACACACCTTCGAATTATTACTTTTCAAACTGTAACTACCTGTGTCGAGAGATTTTCGCTACCAGCTTTTTAATTCATCTTTCTTTTTTATGCGTTTTTGCTGCGAAGCGCTATAGCGCTGA